GGTTGGCTAAGGTGGCTTTTTTGATAAAGCTAATTTGAATGAAGTTTGAGCGTGAGAGGTGCACTGCCTAGAGGTAATAAGAGAGGTTTGTGATATGAAAAACAGTGAAAGACATCGCTGGCTTGTGCTGCATCTACAGTAGGTGACTATGAGTGCAATAAAACCAGTGCTGTGCTGTCTTGTGTATCTATCCAGGCTTTGCAGTTGGATGCTAGGATTTTGTTGAGCATTGAAATAGTCATGTTGTGCCCAAGTCATCAAAGTTCTTCCTCAAGATGTCCAGCAGTAGTAACTTATTTGTGTAATATTTGACTCCATATCCATAAAGTAAGATAAAACTGAATTGTTCTCTAGCAATTCAGATATACAGAAGAGCAGTATGCACTCTCTGGAGGGGACTATTTACTATGCAGTATACTCTCCTTCCCCATACTTCAGGGTTGTGTCTTGAATGGCCCTTAATATTTCAGTGGAGTCATTTACAGTAACTTTAACTGTATAAAAAACATTAAACAGGGCTTGAATTGTGAATTGAAATCAAAGGTTAAGATGTTTTTTTTTCAATATCTAATGTTCCGTGATGAGTGTACTCTACACTTGATAAATAATGTTGAGAAATTAATATAACCCATGAATACAAGCTTAAATGTTTGTGCTTTGGTTAAGGTAAGTTTACCTTTAATGGTTTGCTTCTTTAAAATATTTACTTGATGTAATTATTGTGAGGTTATCAGTATTAATTTGAGAACATTTCTGTAATTGTGTACAGCATATGATATTTTTCTCTTTTTTTTGTCATGCAAAGGACTGTAAACCTTCCTTAATAGCATTAGGATATATCCAATTCTTATAATGCAACCTTATTTGGGTTAATAACACATTTTATTACAATATATTTTGTATGGTTTTTGTTTTACGTTGTTAGGTCTTTCCTGGAGTATATATTTTAAAGTTATAAAATGGAGTGCATTTTAAAATTTGCAGTCTAAGAGGTACATGGAGTGATAATGTAGGAGAGCCCCAAAATTCACTGTGAAACAAAGAAGGTGTTGAGTTTCAGCCAGGGAGGGGTCATCTGCAGCTGTGGAACAGAAGGTCACAGAGGTCAAAGGTGTCCCTGTGAGGTGACCTTCGCAGGGCTTTCTCATTTTATTTTTTTACAGCATCTTCATGTTTGAAAAATAAATCCATTCCCAGCTACAGCACACTGTATCCAATCTATTTGTGTCTACTTTTAAAAGGGTGTTTTATTTAGCATAAATGTTGGAGCCAAGGGTTGCTGGCTGCCATGGCAACCAAATTAAACTGAGAATCTCTTCTGAAGAACAAATCAAAATTATTTGGACCTGTTTTGCCAAGAAAAAAAAGAAAGGGACTATAGTGGAGTGTAATCGCCAGGGTAAATTTTTTAATTGATAAATCATGGTCATTTAATTATAGAGTTAGCATCAGTCATGAATTTGAGTTTCAGCAAGACAATATCATGCTATTTGCTCAAAATGGGTCACACCTGATGGTGCTGTGGTATGTGTGGTGAGGGTTAAATTGGGGGAAAAAAAAACTCTGCATCACAATCTTATTACCACCCATAATTATATTGGGAAGAGTCTTGACTTCTGATTGCTCTTCAGTTCACTTTTTCCTTTGTTGGAAAAATAATCTATTTTATTGATTAGTATTGCGACCATGGCAAAGCAGTGAGTATTGTGGCTTTAATTAATTCCTCTACCCTGTGCCTCCAGCACAAGCCCAACTCCCCCACCTTAATTAACTTCGTTTGTCTGTGTCATCCACTTTCGGCTTCAATATCTTACCACTCCTTTTCTCAGTGTGATCTCCCAGCTTGCGGACGTTTCAGTTCATAATTTTTTTGTTGCATTTTGTCCTGCTGCACTAAAGTCAAGCACTGCTAACCTTTCATTGTAGTATAAAAGATGGATGATACAGTGCCTTTACCTAAGCTTCAATTAACCTTTACCAGTGTAGGCTGCAAGTCATGAAAGAATGTTTTCTTTTTTTATAGTTATTATAAAACTTGCTGAATGTATTTATCTGCGCACAGGAGTTGCCAGATTCCTTTGGCATACTTTAACCATTTTCCATTTGCATCACTCTTCATCTTGTGGGTTACAAAAGCCTAGCTCTTCTGTGCTAATATCCATTATGTCTGTTCTCCACACCTTTGTTGAGCACTTTAATTTCTAGTGCTTTTAAATAGCTGAAGCTACACAGTTGAGTCAAGCAGCACAGTCATTCCTACAGAAAATCAAAGAACTCTGAATGACATAAACTACATATTCAGTGAAATCTACATTGTGAGCGCAAGCCTGTCACCTTGACCTAAACGCCAAGTGATCAATTGCTTGTCCAGAGTACATGAAAACAAAGAAAGAACAGAGGTCACTAATTATTTCTTCAGCAAAGAAAATGTGTTTTTTGAATTGTACCTCTTGTTTATCTTTGAGATCAGAAATAATCACTGGTTTGAACTGTCTTTTATGATAGTATATGAGTTTGTCATATCCTCAGTTGTGAGTCAATGCATAGAATAGCCAACAATAGCAGCTGATCACCAGGCACTTTTGCTCTTGAAAACGTCAACATTGAACTGTGCTTGTTGAACAACAATAAAAGCAGCGATACAGGTCCACAATGAATTGTACTATCTTGTTGCCTACTAGTTTTTACCTTTTTTTTTAATTTGGAGTTTTTTTTTAATTTTTCATTTCCTTAACACATTTTAGCTGAAACACATGATATTATTCTGAATATTTCCAAATTGCTCTGTCTGTAGTATTTTGTACTCTTGCTCTCATTTTGAGCTGTACCTGTTATATGCAAGTGACCTTCTTAAACCCATTAATCATTTTTCTCCCTCATCTTGCCCACTATACTCCCTCATGGATGTGTAGGATGGAATAACTGTTAGTATGTGTGAAGTGGTCAACGTGTGCATATATTTCAAACCTGATCAAAGATCTTGTCTTACACAGAACCACTTTAGTCTCATTATCTCACAAAACGTTTCTTGTGCACTATTATGATTCCATAACTAGGCCACTTTGTCACTTGCACTGAAGCAATGACTCCTTTCAGATAAAAACTGGAGAATAAATCGCATCCTGATTCCATTTAATCTGCTAGTTTCTTAGAGAATTTAATCTTCTTAATTGTTTAATAGAAATATTTAATAGTGGAATTAGTTGAGGGTTACTGTATTATTACTTCTAAATTTTTATTTAACTAGTAGTAAAATAAAAAATAAAATAAAAGTTGTCCAGCATACTGCCCCTTCAGCACTGATGTCAGTGTTATTTCACCTGCCTGATTCTTAGCTGAAGCCTCATCTACAGTACACATAACAGCGCTTGTACTTAAAATATTAAGTTTAATACATATGAAAACATGGGTTCTGAATGTCACTGGTGTTAACTCTTTTATAAACATTTATTTTTTAAAAATTGATTCATTTTTAAGTTTCTTTATGGCAGTTTATAAGATCTCCTGAATTAAGATGACCCTTTTTTTGTAATAGCCTATTGGCAACAGAAGCATATGGCAGTTAACAGAGTTCATACTTGTTTCGAGAAATGTGTTGTCACTAGAAGGAGATGTGATACATAGAGCAGATCTCTAATTCTGGTTTCTGGGTTGTCAGGTTCTCAGCCCGGGAGTGACTCACTTCTCTTGACAGTTCCACCCTTGCACTCTTTCAGACAGCAGTCAGGTTGCTTTCCTATAGCCCAGGCAGAGTCTTAAGATGTGACCATCTTCGTTTCCGACAATTTATATTCATATTGCACCACTCGCAATAGTACCTGTCAGTCAAGATTGTTTTATTGTCTCAAGGGAATAAATACTGAACATCTTTTTTTTTGGAGGGGGAGGGGGGATTGGGATTCTTTATTTTCGAAGAAATTTCACCACACCGATTTTCTGAAAAGCATCTGTAAACTGCTAGTTCACTGACTGCAGTTCAGCTCGAGCATGCTACTCTATCAGTTAGTTTGAAAGACTCATCTTGCTGCAAAAGTACTGGAGCTGTTGTCTTGTGACAGGTGTTTTTGAACAGTCTTCTCTCCTTTCTGTCAGCCAAGTCTGAGCTGCATTCAAATGGCTTTGTTATGTGGGATCTATAATACATGTACTGCAGGCATTATTGTCTCCATACAGATAAGAGCCTGGGTCTGTCAAATTTGCATCAAACAGTTTGTTAAAACTGTGGCATTGTTACATTTATGAATTCTGACATGTTAATGGGGTCAGGCATGTGTGATGTTTGCTACCTGTAGGTTGCAATTATAACCTATACATGCTGCATTACTCAGTGTATGTTGGTGTTAGTTTTGTTTTCAAGAAGGCAAAGATGTACAAGTGGTGCACCTTTTAACCATACAACTTTGGCGTTCAGCATCACATAATGTATTCCAAGATAAAAATCAAACCGTTAATGCTCAAATGTCATGATGAGTATCAGTTTTGCATTCAGTATCTTGCAGCCCTGGTGAGTGTGTCCTGTTCTTTTAAGTCGTTGTCACTCTTAAAACGTGAAAAGTCAGGTCTGTTTGTTTTTGGTTTCCTGCATCTTGTTTGTTGACTTGTGCTCTTGAAGGTTTACACTAGGGGTGTCTTAACACACAGCCTGCAGGCCGAATCCAGCCAGCTAGGCCCATTTGTGTGGCAGTTGTAGTGATAGCCATTGTCCAGCATTCAATTGGCACCCTGTCTGAGCCTGAATAGCCCACACATGAAGCAGACAACCTTGGTGATATTACTGTATGAGTCTCACACTTCCTATGGTTCTCTGCCTTTGTCCAATTGCGGCTCTCGCTTGCAGTATGTATGGCCGGCTTAAAGTAAACCAAATCTGGTCCACCGCAACAAATGCGTTTGACACGCCCGGTTTACCCAGTTAAGTGATATTAGAGATTATCCCTCCTTCTTTTAAGAACTTGACATAATGGGATTTTTTTTTTTGGGTGGGGTGCTGTTTTTCACAGGTCCAGATGTGGCGGAGCCCAGCAGCTCAGACAGCCGAGGGGACCGCTTGGATTTCTTTGTGAAGCAGGAAGAGAGCTTGTTGGGAGACTCCAGTTACCTCTCGCAGTCTCTGGGCTCTGAGAAAGAAGACGTATCAAGCCAGGCAGCCTCTGTGGCCAACCTACGGGCGGCGCTCATGAGCAAAAACAGTCTTTTGTCACTGCGAGCGGAAATGCTTGGAGAGGACAACCCATTGCTTTTCGACTACTTGCCCAAAGGTGGACACTCTTTGTCTCGTAAGTTAATTATTTTATTTTCCTTCTCGTTTTCGTGGTGGCTCAGCGGTAACATGAGCGAAAGTTCGAGTGTGTTGCACGCTTAGTATTTCCAAGAAGTGTCTACAACACTATCACGTTCTTTCCTTTTTGGTGTGTCTAAATAAAACATATTAGCAGCGTTCTGGCCATTGAAAAACACGAGACGAGATCGTGCTAAATAAAAAGCGTGTTCTTGTCAAGCTAATTTTATGTTTTCTGGTGAAAACCAACAGGTTTTTTTTAACATAGAAGCAGTCAAAGTGCTCACGCTTTGCAATTGAATAATCCTTTGTTAGTGGTACTTTGTCCTTTTGTTTCACAAAAAATAGGAAGTAAATGTACTTAAATCCAGTCTTGCTCTTTTAATTTACTGTGAACATACTACAAAAGAGTGGGCTTTTGACATGTTAATAGATGCTGCAAAATCCTTCCATGTTTGGGTTCACACAAAGTGTGCCTGTGGATTTAAAGGCATTAAGTCTGGTGCTAAACTGGATGTATGACCCAAAATTCTAAGAAACACAACAGGTGTTAGAATGTCTCTGACATGGTCAGTTGACAGATACTAATAGTGTACTGATGGTCTCAATGTGCCGCAAAATACTGTTAATATATAGACATTGTGAACGGCAAACATTTTTATTTTTTCATGTTTGAACTAAAGCTTATTTTTTGTAAATCTTCATGATATTTGGTGAAAGCAGGGGACAAGTTAAGGACGCCAGAACTTATTTCACAGACGACAGTTGCAATTATCAGATTAACATTTTCATCATCTTTGATCAGCTTTATATTTAATTGCAATATGTATTTTTCCCTGAGGGGTATGTCTTAATAAAATCTAGATTTGATTTTTATTGTGAGTTTCAAGAGCTTGCTGAGGGATCACTAGTCACACTCTCTTTGCCTGGAATATAAGCAAAGTTTCCAGTCGTTGCTGGCACTCTGGGGAAAACAAAATCACAGCAGCTTGATTTCAACTGTCATATCCAAAACATCATGTGTATGAGAAGTTTGGGGCCATCTTTGTTCAGACCTCCTTTATGTTGGAATTGCACATTAAAAAGAAAATAACGTTTTTACGTCTCAGGATTTCTCCTTCATTAAATCAGTTCTGCCTGGCTGTTATGCGGTTTTTTCACTGATATGTTACCACAGTTCAGTTCCTCACTCTTGCACACTCCAGTCCTGTGGTTTACTGCTGGCTTGGAATGCCGTTGTACATTAATGACTACATCAAGAAAAACTATAGCGTGTAATTGTGGTACCTCTGTATTGGATTTCTGTGTAAAAGACTAACCTTAAATGCATGTAGTGTCACCGTTTCTCAAGTAATCTACAAACCTGCTTGTCTTTAAACAGGTACCTCCAGACCTACCACTAGTGATCGTAAATTATATCAGTTTCCTGAGGATTACTATGAAGGAAATAAATATGGTTTATGATTTATGGATCACTGATTTTTTTGCCAGGAAATATACAGATATAAAATATGTCATATGATATGTTATTTATTGGAAAGCACTGTATACAGAGACAGACTTTTATTACAGTTTGGTATCAGTTTTGTTCCATGTCTTTTTTTTTCATTGCTCTACTGTTTTTACAACAAATTAATAATAATAATAATTGTTTACACTTATATAGCGCTTTTTTTGGACACTCCACTCAAAGCGCTTTACAGGTAATGGGGACTCCCCTCCACCACCACCAATATGCAGCATCCACCTGGATGATTTTTGATAAAATCAAAGCTTTTGCTTTTTAGGGGTGGTCTCGGGTGGCAGGGAGTTGAATATTTAGATCATTTGTTCATTTGAAATGTTAGCTTTTTATTGAAATGTGAAGTGTAACTGGATAAATAAAACAATCGCTCATAATTCACCTTGATTTTCACAATATTGATTTGCTACAATCTAATTTTGAAGATTGTAGTTTGTTGATGATTGTTTTTTGTTTCCTGCTGTGGCAGGGGAGGTGACTATTACGAGACCCTGTCATGACTGTTATGCATCTTGATAGCGATACATGGGTTTCAAAGTGTATCAAGATTAAATGTGAAATATACTGCTCACAAAAGAGACATAACTATTAATAAAGATCCTTCTTTTGTATGGTAAGGATATAGCAGTTTCAGAGATCACACCATTATTGACTTGAAATGGAACAATGAAATATTGTTGCTTGATGTAAATGTGGCCTGATAAAGTGACATCAGGGATTTAGTTTGGTGAGGTTGCTTTGAACAGAAGCATAGTTTCCAAACATGAGGTAGTCTCAGAAAAGACCAGAATTATGAAAACGTATTGAATCAAATAAACAAAACAGTTGTGCAGTGTCTTGGCCGGACTGAGTCTACAGCAGTCCAATGCAATGTTTGATAGCTTCTGAGAGATTCTGCCCCTTTTTATTGTTATACAACCTTATCCTGACTCCAGCACCTAATCACCATCTCCATGTGGCCCATTGATAGCATTCCTTTATCGCCACATGTTGTGTGTTAAGAGTCAAAAGAATAGTGTCGAGGGGACAGATAGTTGTGGGTGGTGTACTTTCCCTTGGAGAATTGATTCAAGATGGCTGAACAGGGCATGGAGATGTCTAGTTTTGAAAGGTAGACTACTACTAATGTTCTGGAAGGAGAAAGGAAAGAGTATAAAATGTATTTATGTGGGGAAAAATGTCCTGGTGTTAACGGTTTTGCAGGACAACACCACAGATCAGTAACACCTCAACAGCATTATTGCGCATCATCCATATTTCTCGGGATTGAATCACACCACCACATTGGGTGCACGCGCAGTCACGTGTGACTTGAAGGAGCTATGAGACACTGTTATAGAAGCATTAAATGCATAGTCCAATATCGTCTGAGTGTTATAAGTGTTGCATCTTTTCCATGTGTCATTGGTGCTAGGGCTGATCATGTAAATTCTATGCTCTTCAAGAGGAGTGTTGCTTTGTCTAATTTTGTACTTTTAAAAACACTATAGTCTAGTGATTTTAAAGGTAGGGACTGTATCTCTAAACTATGTTATGTGTGTACAGTATGTATGTTATCATGCAGGATCCAAACAGGTTGATGATGACCACAATGTGCTTATATTACACTAAGCAATGTTTTAGCTAAAGCATGGTTGTTAGAAGATACTCTTTATATGTTTTATGTAGCTACCCCCAATGTTCATGGTAAGGTGCATGTTCATTAGTACTGAGCAATATAATAAGTCCAGTCAGATGAACAACATTACAGACATCATGTTGCTCTACCCATGGACTCACTGACTTTGAGTCAGTAGTCCTTGTTTGCATTTATGGGTTTTCTAATTGTGTCTGAAGATGCATGAGAAAAGCAACTTGCCAGACAAAAAAAAAGATGTTTCAGTGAGGCTCTCTATGTGTATATAAAATGTATATGTATATATTTTTATTCTCTAGACCTTTAAGAAAAAGGACAAATGGAACTACAAACCACCAAGTACAACTGTGCTGGGCTTCAGAATTGTATTTCAAGAAGATATAAATAACAATGTAAGAGTAATTTAACACGGGCCCCTGTTAAATGAAGCCTGAGCAGGTTCATAATGCTTCTTGGCCCTGCAGCAGAATTTACAGCTGCCCCCAGGTTCTCATTAAACACCTAAAGACTCAGGTTTGACATGTCAGTGTATTAATAGCCATGTCATAAGATTTCTGGTACATGGTCACTTAATTAATGTTCTTAAAAGACAGTAGTTTTAACACCTCTGGCTGGTGCCAAGACACTAATTTCTACAGGTGATGAGTTGGAGTTTTCTTCTGTATGTTCATGAGGATTTCCAAAATACGATATCTTCTCTTTGGAAATTGTACCATGTATATATAATACTGCCAGTTTAATCATAGGATAGCCATAGAAGGGAAAACCTAAACTGAATGGTGACTTCTGCTGATGAAATCTTCAGCAGACTGTGGCTTCAGGTAGACACTTGAATTGAAGACCTTAAGTGTGGTGAGGAGGAGAGATACAAAAACAAATGAACAAGCAATAGGTTTATTCCATGCTGAAAAAAAGAAGAAAGAGAACACAACGTTTCGGCCGTGGAGCCTTCTTCAGGTGTCAACACCTGAAGGTGTCACACCTGAAGAAGGCTCCACGGCCGAAACGTTGTGTTCTCTTTCTTCTTTTTTTCAGCATGGAATAAACCTATTACTTGTTCCTTTGCAGCCTACGCATGCTGACGCAGCTACCCACCTGAACTACAAAAACAAATGATGATTTTCAAATATGGGATATTTATGAATGTGTGTAAAATATAAACCAGTGTTTTTATAACTTTCTGTTGCAATATAAATGAAGCTTTGAGAAGTATGCCACTCCCACCTTTTATATTGAATTATGCAACAGCTGTTAATTTAAGGAGCAATTGGTTTTCTTGATAAACACCAGAGGTTTTTATCTTGAACTGAAACAAGATCTGTCATTCCACATGAAAAGGGTGCAGGGGATTGTGGTAAGAAGACGCCAACACTACTTTCTGATCCCTGTGAAAAATGTCCGACCTGTTTTACAAGTGGTGCATTTTGGGAGTTTGCTTGTCTGTAGTGTCTGGATTCGTCCAGCTGTTTGTTGAAGGATCCCAAGGAATCTTGTTCCAGCGTCTCTGTCCTTTGTGTACAGACATGTCTATTGTGTTCTGTCTTTAATGTGAATGAGTTTCAGTCATAGTGGTTGTAGAGTAAGTTACAATGTTGATTATAGACCAGGATTGCAAAATCAAATATGATTAAAAAACAATTTAACTAGAGCCGAATACTGTACATCCAAGGATGAAGATAACATTTTCTTAATTTAAAGAAGCTTTAAAGTTTTATTAATTTCTTATATATACTGAAATAGCATAAATAGTTTAATTTAAAATGCATTGTATAATATCATACCATTGTTTTACCACATTATGCAAAATGTTCTATTTTTGCCTGCATCGCATAGCTCTAAG